GAGGGGTGGGTGCTGGGTGGGGTCTCGGGGGGCAGGGCTTCATGTCAGGGGCTGGACCCAGGGATCCCGGGACCGAGGCTCGGTCCTGGGAAACGCCGTCAAAAGACCCAAACTGTTGCTCACGGTCTTGGAAACACAATGACAAAAAGCCAAACCCTGGGTCCTGGTGCGAGGGGTTGGGCATCTGGGCAGAGCAACGTGTGGCGGAGCGCTGAGCTCCAGGGACTTGGCCGTCAGGTTTGCTAGTCGGGGAGTTTCCAGAAGTTGGTTTCCCATTCTGGTGTCTGGGCTTCGGTCTATTTGCCTGACTTAGTGTGAGGTGCAGCTTCGAAAGGTAGCAGGCCCTGCCCATTTGGAAGGAGATAGTCCCAGACTCCATTTAGAGTTTGAAGAGGGATTGAACTCTTACAGACTGGAGAGGAGCCAGGAGTGGTGCGCATGCCTGTAATCCCGGAGACTTTGGAGGCTAAAGCAGGAGGATTGCAAGTTCGAGGTTAACGTCAGCAGTTTAGAGAGACCCTCAGTAACTTAGCAAGACCCTGTCTCAAAAGGAAAAATAAATAAATTTTTTAAAAAGCACAGGAGATAAAGCACTTATGGGTACAATATCTAGTACTCCCCGAAAATAACAAAACTGGAGGGGAGTTTAAGAAATTAACACCCGGGGCTAGGATTGTGGCTCAGTGATAGAGAGCTCACCTAGCGCGGGCGGGACCCGGGTTTGATCCTCAACACCACATAAAAATGAAGACATTGTGTTATGTCCATCTACGCCTAAAAAATAAATATTTAAAAATATAAAAAAAAATAAATTAACACCCTGCTCTGTTCACAGTTGAGTACACAAAAGCTCAAAAGCCCATATTGGGAGGTCTAGCAAGAGAATCCAGAACTTCCGATTTGTGAGAGGTTTGCAGGGTTGGATGCTCTAGATTTAGACGTCTGGAAACCTAATGTTGAATGCTTGCCCAGAAACTCAGTCAACTCCAAGTTGACCTTAGTCCCTGAACTTCACTTCTCTGGGTCTTGATCTCATCTATGGAATGGGAATCCTAATTATCCCTATCCTGCAGGACTTGTGTAGGGATTGAATCAAAATGAAAAGGCGTCCTAAACTGTCAATGTCTATACCACTGATAAAATCACTTTCATTATATACTTACTATGGCCAACTGCAGCACTGAGTTTTTTTCATGTATTATCTCATCTTTATAGTCACCTCATGAAATCTCTACTGGAAACCCACATTATACAGCCATTTGCCGGTCTCCGTTGCCCCTTCCTGCAATCCCAGCAGCTCAGGAGAATGAGGCAGGATTACAAATTCCAGCCTCAGCAGTTTAGGGAGATCCTCAGCAATTAAGCGAGACCCTGTCTCAAAAAATAAAAAGGGCTGGACACAGTGCACACTCCTGTAATCCCAGCAGCTCTGGAGGCTGAAGCAGGAGGATCACGAATTCAAAGCCAGCCTCAGCAAAAGCGAGGCGCTAAGCAACTCAGTGAGACCCTTCCTCAAAATAAAAAATAAAAGGACTGGCGGTGTAGTTCAGTAGTAGAGCACTCCTGGGTTCAATCCCCAGTATTAATTAAAAGGGCTAGGGAGTAGCTCAGTGGTGGAACTACCTACATCCAATCCCTAGGATGGAGGGGGTGGCTAGAAGAAAAAACTTGGATTGCAAGGTCTAATTGGCCAGGCTGAGGCTGTGGCTTAACCATAGCACACTTGCCTGGCATGTGTAAGGCACTGGGTTCAGTTCTCAGCCTCGCATATAAATAAATAAAATAAAAGTCTATCAACAACGAAGAAGAAGAAAAAAATTAACAACAACAACAAAAAAAACGGTCTTATTAGCCTAGATCACACATTTATGAGCAGGATAGATCTGGGATTCAAACTGAGCATTCCAATGGCTGGGCATGGAACTGCTCTACTGAGTGTTAAGACAGCTGCTGAATATGAAATAAGGCCTGCTTTTTATCAGAAAAAAAATCTCATCACATCACACACTACAACTGGCCTCCTCCATCTCTGTCCCTTGTCTCCATCTTTCACTCCCAGCTGGAACATGTTGGACAATAAATAGGTAAGGCCACACTATTGTATAGATTCTCTGCACCCTTGGGTAGAACCCTCCATGTAAAATACTATCAAGGAAATAAAGAGAAAACATAAAACAGGCACATATACAGTTGTCCACAATAAACTTATCCACAAATCAGCAGACACAAACCAAAGTGTCCAACAATAGCTCTTTACCACTGGAAATCCCCTGAGGCCATGTATTGATG